TCTATTTATTATTTTTAAAAAATTTCTTTAAAAAATATTTTAAAAAATGATCGTTTATTTCGTATAATCATATCTCTTCTTCTTCTTTTGCGCTGAGACAATTGCATTCGAAAGATGTACAAAAGAGATTAAATTCTATTCGAGCAAAAAATAATTTGGCGACAGTGGACGATGGTTACAGAGAGAGAGGCGTAGGTGGGTCTATGGTAAACGGCGCGGAATGGTGCTGGTAGGTCAAAGTTTAAATTGACACACACACTCGGCGTCCCGACAGACAGCCGTTGTCGGGCAAAACCGATCGGAAACAACGGCCAGTTCTCTCGTTATCTAACGCAGCCACACTTGTGGACGTTAAGTAGTAACAACGTAGGCAGGATAATGGCATTCAAAGGGCTGTTTGCAGTTCAGTGGAGGGATGTGCGTTCTATGGAGTTACGTGGACGGGTGGAGTGGTATTTATACGCGTCCCTCGACGCGAATGAAAGAATAGATTTATACGGGAACTGGTACACAACGAAATACGGTCCTAAAGGGTCCTGGTGGACGGCTAGTAAAAGATATCTCCGGATGGTTTTGAATGTTCAAACTTTATTCACATATAAAAGAGAGACAAACATATCGAATATATATCAAACAATTAATAGTTCGCTCATATCACGCATTCACTCGCACTAAACGAATGGTTTTTTTATTCAATAGTTTGAAGTATAATGCGAAGAAATTTTACCTCTATCTATTCAGTTAATGTTCATCAATTATTTAGTTAAATTTTTACAGATATTGTTTAAATTTCCTACACATGATTAAAGAAAAGGAGATTAAAAGAGGAAAACTTAATTTAAAATTGACACACATAGTAATAAAATATCATCCATCACGCTTTTTAGATATAGTTTACATGATATATGTATAAACAAAAATCAAACTAAAAGCAGCTGTCAGATAAACGATTGAAATTACGGAGAAGCCTTCGAAGCGAGAAGCAAATGTTTCGCTCCAGTTCCCAATCATCCGGCGCGACGAGCTGGGCTTCGCGTATTTTATATGAAAAATACAAAGTTTATCTCATACAACTTACGAAAACAGTATATGCAAAAACGAACACAGCCGATAGAAACAAAAACCGGGAACAAACTGAAAGAAAAACGCGAATTATTCAAATCAATAACGATCTGCAAGTTTAGTTCCTAAGTTTTTACATACAAAATTTCTAGTTTAAATGAATAAGAAAAAGAACAAAAAGAAAAACGAGATCTAAATTTCTCTAAAACGTCATTTCATATTATCTAACTAACTTAATATTTTATTTAAATTTTATCTATATTACAGATATCTTCCATTAAATAACCTTTAAATCAGCTATATATAATATATAGTTAAAAGAAGATTTTGTTAGTTACACAGAAATCAATTAACTGTATTTCTAAATATTAATTTTTGCTTTGATAGTCGAAAATAAGTGTACATACATATTGAGACATTACCTTTCATTCTACTTAGGAAACGTGCAGCGGAATAACAGAGGATAAAGTAATAATCACTTTGTTATCTGCAGCTTGACAATTAACGGCCTATTGCTGTAACATATAGTAACATCATCCGATTAACCTGCAAACGGCTAATTTTCCTAACAAATCACGTTATAAAAGGAGATCAATAAATTGCTTCAAATTCAAAGAGAACTACAAACCTGTATTACATAGAGCGACATGTTTTCATATTTAGGCTGTGAAAAGACCAGTAAAAAATGTAATTAAAATTAATAAAAATATAAATAATAAAAGTACAAAATTTGTTTCAAAAATATTTAACCTATAAAAAATATAAATTATGAAATGATTGTGAAAAAGTATTGTCAACCTCTACACATCTATTTTATTTTCTACGAAGAGGAGTCGAAATACATACTATATACGTATTAACTTTAAAAGTAATTTACATTTATCTAAATAATTGTTTAATAATTACTTGTCGTGTGAATATTAATTTATGACATGCCATGATTAGCAGAATGTTATCTGTTATCGCGAGTCGTTATCATAAAACATTAAAAATTATTAAAGTGCGAACAGTATTTCATAATTAAACATATTTATTGAATTTTGTATTGGTACGAGTAATACATCGCCGCATCGACCAGCGCGAGACGAATATACAACATATGTAGGTATTTGGTTACGCATTTAACTGCATATAGACATTTACATACAATCTATAATTTCATCCATACCGTCATGCACGCAAAAAACTTGCACGACTGGTGAAAATGATCGAAAATTCTGTTTACCAATTAGTAAGTTGCTCAAGATACACGATTGACTAAGCTATTTCGTGTATATTTTAACAGTAATAATCATACTTCTTTAAATAATTGTCATTTTTAACAAACTCGGACTTCTTTTATCATTTAACAATTTGTACTCCAATTTTTTTTTATACCTGCTGCATATGTATAATTACAGTATCGATTACGTAATTACTAGGCAATTAGTCAATTGATATGTAAATAAAATTATATTACAAGTATAATCTTTCATCGTTAATTTTTAATCAGTGAAAGTAACAATCTTAAAGATTTATATATGGTAATCGCAATTAAATATCTTTGTGTTTTATCAGTTTGCTTTCATCAATTCATCGACACATAAAAAGAAAGTTTTCGCCAATATTATATAAATACAATTACAATTTATATCTTCTGCTTTTATAATTAATTGTTCAAAGCATTTGGCGTCTATAATTATTATAGTCGTAGACATTGGAGTAGAAGACGGTTATCGATTTCTTTACGCAAATGTTAGATAACATAATTAACGTTGCATAATCAGTTTCGAAAAGGCTACTAATAAACGGCACTAACAATCTGCCATTTACAAATGTGAAAGCAAACAAGTTTTTCAACAACATAATGTACAATATGCTTTGGATTTTAATTTAAAACTTTGTTAGAAAAATATCGAAAGCTTAAAAAGCGTCCAATATAATTTCTGTTTAATTCAACCGAAAATTTTTAATTTTAAATCATGTTAATTCCTAAATCTTGTTTAAGTTCTTTAAAAAATCGTTTATAATAAATTATTATATACATATAGCACGTAAGAATTTAGAATACAGATGTTTCTTTCACTATTCACTCAGTCTATTTTATATAATATTGAGCGGAAAAGTTTGATTTTTTTTAATTGATGTAAAATATTCTGTTATATGTCTAGATAAAAATTTACACAATTGTAATTAATTATCTGTATTGAAATTGGAAAATGATTTAAAATTCATATCTTGAAGAAAATGATTAGATTCAGGTCTTCGATTGATCATAGAATTCTGTGAAGAAAAATAAGCTTTTCCTTTTATTTTACTCTTAAAGGAACGCGCAAGTTCCGTCTTATCCAATGACGGTATCGTAAATGCGCGTGTAGTAACGTAAAAGGAACATATCGGATTCTTCGATCGTGAGCATCATACTGATAGGCGTTTGAACAGACTTCGACCTTTCTCTCAGGCGCTTGCGACAGGTCAACCGTAAACGACAAAAAGTATGATATAGTCATATAAACAACATCCCACGGGCCAAAATCCACGGGCCCGGCTAGAAAAATATAGGTATAGATACAGGGTGGTCCAATAGACTTTCAACAGCAGCGGGCATTATAGATCGGCTATAGACATGGTCGACCTCATTCTTGTCTTTATTAGAAAATGAAAAACTTTTTAAGAGTACATGAAAGCTTCTGCAATCTTCTTGTCGTCCAACTTCTCCCTCATAAAATAATATTGTTAAAAGATTGCTAAAATTAAAACGACTTCTTTGTTCATTTTGATCAATGTTATTTTAATTTAGTTCTAACATGTTCACAATTAATCTTGTTCGCTTAATTTGAGAAAATAATAACCGAATCAAGTTTTTAGGTTTATTTATTATTTTCTTCTATGCACACGTATGTGCAAAATTACGCTAATATTTTCCAACAAATAATAATATTTTCTACTTTTTTCTAACATGAGCATGAAGATATTATCAGAAGTAAAATATTTGATTTCTACTTTTTTAAAATTCCTTATTTATCTTTACATCTTATCAATCTAGTTGCTATATTCTTTTCTTAAAGAAGTCGAACTAGACTGGAGGAATTTTATGAACACCCGATACCGTCGCCCGATGCCGTTTTACCTAATCTAAACTTGGTCGCCGCTTTCGCGACGAGATTAAAACTTTTTATGACTTGCTCATCCAACTTTTGTCCAATTTTTATTCTTTTGTTCGAATAAAGCTTCAATCTCAACTTCACGAAAGAATCTCCTGACAAATACCATCCAAAAATTATGAAAGATTAGAGATATTAAAAATCCATTTTAGATATTTTTGTTACGTCAGCCATTATGGCAAATTACCAATAGAATATTTCAATTTATATATTTTGTATAAATAGCATACAAGTGCAGTATTTAAAAAATGGATCAAAACTGTAATACAGAATCTTTTTTTACTCTTTCATTATTCCAAATAGATAAATTCAGATATACGATAGATTCAACAGTGTCGGTTTGTAGCGTAATCAAACGTGATCCACTTGTCGCAGATATGTCATTAAATCTAACTGTGCATCCGTCGTCTCGTAAGAGATATGTAGAGAAGGATCGATCACGTGGCAAATCCTATGAAGCGCGAGCAGACACTTATATATGTTCGACTAATTCGATTGACCGCGCACTAACGTCAGACTTGCACAGAGCCGATAGGGAAACAAGTCGAGCAGCAAGATATTTTCTTAGGTCTCTCAACAAAGGATCTAAGAAAAGTAAAAAGAGAATGGAAGCGATAGCAAAAGAAAGCAGAAGGTTTTCGAGTCCACATTTCAAAAAATATCCATATGTGACATGTAAGTTGCAATTTCATATTTTCCTTATCTGTTCCTGTTATATTCTCTCTCTCTCTCTCTCTCTCCCCCCCTCTCCCTTTTTCTCCCTCCCTCTTCCCCCCCTCAAAGTTTAGATCTTTTTCATTATTTATTTTTTCGCTTTTGTATTCCATTTTCTATTTTTCGGTTCTAAAAATATATCCTTTTCGGAAACGTTTGATCAGAATAGAAATTCAATACTCGACAAGGTAAACAAGTAATGACTTGACCTATTTCCTTACTCTGGCTCTGCGTATTTGTAACATTAAGAATTAGTTGCAGTCAACAACGAAATCCTTTCACGGATCTAACATTTAGGATTAAATTAGGAAGATTGAAATCTTTGAGGAAGAGATACGAATAATGTTTTTTCGATAATTTAATTTTATCATTCAGACATCACTGTGTACTCGCTCAGAAAGGATTTATAGAAAAAAGTAACGTAATTATATCACCGAAGCGATATCCTTTCCATCGGAAGAATTTATACCTAAAAAAAAATTAACCTGGTAGCCTAAAGTAGAAAAATGTCATTGGATTCGTTGCTGATATTGATTTTGTCTTCCTACACTGACATTTACTAGTAGTTTGTTAACCATTTCTACTGCGCTTGTGTGATGCAAGATTAGTCCTCGATTTATTCAACGACTTTGGCAAGACGAAATGGACGATATGTTTTGGACTTTGACGAAGGATGCGAAAACTCACATTTTTGTGAGGTGGAAAATTGATCGAGTCAGGCAAGATGTACATTAACGTCATTAACGTCTTGCAGTTCCATTCATTCAAACATTTCCAGATCGAACACATTATATCTGAACATTCTCACTGAACTGTATTTTCATCGGTTACTTATTTCTTTTACTTTATTTCATCTTTTACGCGTGTCAAAAATTTAATAATGTCGAACTGTTAAACGTAGTAGCTCGAATTTATAATGCGTGGATATCTAAATACAACGCGCTCGACTAGGAAATACCTAAAGCGAAACTGAAAGGCATTATTAACTCGGTCATTAATTTAAATGAGGGATAAGCTTCCTTGAGAAAACGTTTCGCATTATTCTAAGATTATACACATCGACACATCCAGGATTAACTGCCATTAAGTTATTATATTCATTATCTATTATAAATAGGCATTCTCAATTATATGTCAAACGCAACTCACCGACGAATTGTCTCGACTGCCGCATCGAACGTAAAGACGCAAATGCGTCGGAATGTAAAAATACTATGTGGAATTTTCGTGAACATCCACTGAGAATGTTATCGTTTTTCTCAGAAGTTCAAACCGAAATAATTTCAGGCAAGTTCACGTTTCGACATTGTGAACGCACAAAAATAACTTTCTTTTATTTTTGTATCATCATTATGCCGAAAAATGAATCGCCAAAACCACATCAGTTTCAACTCTCGATTTTAAAGAGGTAAAACGCGGCTAATTCGCACGCGCGTATCGTCATTTAACGGAATGAAGAAGAGCCGTCGCAATTGGTCAGATGAGAATGATGTATCTTGCGTTTGACATTGGACACAGGTACAAGTGCGCCATCGTCGATCTGTTCCATTATGGAAAGAAATACTTACGCTTATTCTACGAAACGTTAATCTAATGTTTCGTGGAATTAGATAAATCCCTGAATTAATACCGTAGCGCTCGAATAAATCTTTGGAGAGAAACGTTGGAAACGTCAATATCTAGGACAGTTTCACAGAATCGATAGCAACACTTACAAAATATATACTAATATATAGACATTTCATTTTAGATAACAGTTTAGATATAACAGTTTAATATAAACTATTCTACTTTTATATGTTATGTATTTTTATCTTACATTTTGATAGAGCTATATATTTAGTTACGTCTTTCCATTAAAACATCATATTTAATAAATTCGACGTTTGCAATGTTTGTGGTCCGGGATTTCAATCACTTTACAATTTCACCGTCCCAATCTTGTAACATTTTGAATATGTGACGTTTAAAGTCGGTATTTTTAGCCAATAAAGACGCGCGTAAGTTACATCGAAAGCAACGACTATCCGATGGAAACCAATTATATATTAATTAATATTTAAATTACGTTGATAATCGTAACAATGAAATTCCGTTATTGTGAATGATAGATTCACAAATAGCGTTTTTCTTTAATAGACGCTTAAGTATTTCCTTCCAGTGTGTTTACGATTGAAACGACCAATTAACCACTAGCGGAAAATTCATTCGCGGGATCACAGATAAAACTATATACTGCCCTTGACACTACATCGTTTAACTCTTGTCGCTAAACATCTCGTAAGATCAAGAGACACACATAGAATGCGCGATCGAGAGAAGCTCGATTTATAATATTTAGTCGGACGTTTAAACGGGAGATTTCAGAAAGGGAATTTAAATGATACCAAACGTCCTTCACTCGCATTCCTCGATCCTTTCCTCTCGTCGTGCTTAGTATAACAAAATATAAATCTGAAGGCGATACATACGTACGCACAATCGCGAGCACGTACATACACGTGTACCAAGGTGGTTTGTTGCATCGAGTTGGCATGCATCCTTGAACGACGAAAAAACAATTCACGAAGCGTATGACCCAAAATAGAAAATTGTACAATAGAAAGATTTATTGCTTCCGCGAAGTCTTCTCGAAAAAATATCTTCGATCATTTTGTCGACTTTATATCAATGATAGACCATCACGTCCGCAGCTTAATAAGAGTGACGTAACAACAATAAAAGTCTCTTGATTGCAAGATCGCATGTAAACGGGGTAGAAAGAAACGTGACGAATTGTTCGATGACGAGCGATGAAACTCATGCGTTTCTCTCAACTCGCCATTTTATGAGGAATGTGGATGTATGTACACGCCAACACGATCCGACTAACGCCTCGTACACTCATATACAGGTAGATATTTGTCTAATGCAACATGTTCCTGTTGTCATAAGGGCATCCGGTATAATGGAATCGGTACTGAGAATTACGTTGGAGACTTTTTAAATCTCGTAATTGCGAAACTTACTGACAACCTCGTTGGACTCCTGATAGAACGGGACACCATGGCCCGAACGGTAGTAGAGATTCATGGCACCACCCTCTGAAGCCCTCCTGTGCGCATTTGTAGGGTGACCTTTGACGTGAGCTGGTGAACCACCTGCCTCTTCGGTCGTATCCGGCAGCATTCTGTCCTTTGTTTTCGGTGTGCTCCAATGCATAGTCTACAAATAGAAGAAGATCCGGTTAACTTCAAGGCAGTAGCATAGAACGTGAAATTAAAGGCCTTTGGTCCTTTATTGCTGTTACAGATCGCTCCTCCATTTTCAGTGAGAGAGAAAGTAGTCAAAATTGATAAAACAATCTACAATTCGAAGAAGAAAGTTTAGAAAAAGACTGGAGATTCATATAAAATCACTTCTTCTATTATATACAAAACAGTCGAGATATAAATTACTATACTTTCGATATAAAAATTATTAAAATATATCCAAAAATTCTCTTTTTAATGTACTTTCTTAATATAAATGGCTATTTAATATCTATAATTTATGACTTTTCTACATCTTGAATGAGAATTTTATAACAGCTGTTTTGCAAATTTAAAATTATAAATTTGCAAAAAAGAATTGACACGTTTCACAAAGACTCGCTCCATTAAAGACTGACTGATAAAAAAAATTAATTTTTTTCAACGTATATTAAAAACAAACAAATTATATTGTAACGAACTGCAATTTACCGTCCAAAATAAACAATAGGTGCATTAATTATTGCCCCTCACCTGCTGCACATGCTCCTTCATGCCGACCCATTGTTTGTAACTGATTTTGATACCACTATTCCGCCATTTATCATAATTGCTTCTCTTTTCGGGATCGCATAGAACCTCTTTCGCATACTACGATATAAAATGAAAAATGTCAAAGTTCTCTCTTTGCTTATGCGCTTAAAGAAATCGATTATACTACAAACCGATTAAAATTAATTAACTTTTTCCTGTGTAAGAGGCGTACCTTTAGTTGTTGAAATTTCTTTTCGGCCTCCTTGTCACCATCGTTCTTGTCCGGATGATACTGAAGAGCTAATACCTTGTATTCCGCTGTAATCTGCTCGACCTAATTTTTTAAATCGAATAAAAACTATCTACATTTATCCGATTGCAAAAATGAAAATTAATTTATTTTTACTTCGAGATTATATATTTTCCTGTGTCGGTCTTTTTTTTTTATCGCGTATTTAATACGCATATATTTAATACGCATTAAATGAAAAGGATACAAAACGTATCAAATTTATTAAAGAGTATATAATTATTTGATTCTTATAATGAGATTTTACAGAATAAACTTTGAACTTTAATTATACAAATATAAAGCTTTTACAGAAGAAAATTTCGACATTTTTAATTTAAATATTTTCGTTGTAATATATGATGATATTGAATTGTGATTTGTAAACACATAAATTGTCTGGATATCTCAATTGTATGTAGTAATGTCACATTCGTAGTGTCTCGTTGATGAAAATAAAGTGTCATGAACACGCTTACGTGATATATCGATTGAGAACGAAATTCTTATCGAAAATTTTCGATCAAGATAATAAAATGTAAACTGGAGAGTTGAAAGGCAAGCAACCTTTCCATCGTATATCTCTATTAAATCTTTTAATATCTACTACTATTGCTATAAAATGCACAATCAAATAAATATTGTAAGTAGATGTAAAAATTTATAATCTGTTTTAAATACGATCGAATTACATTATATCGTACCGTGGTACCTAATATCGTAACAAATATGATTTTTTTGTGCATCACCAAAATTTTTTTGTTGGATAAAACGGCGTATGAAATAACGAAAGCGTTTAAATCTATCAAGATAATTTCGCACTCGATATGACACAAGATTGATTTGATTTCAGCACGAATATTGTTGTGCACAACTGCAACATACCGTAAACTAGGAGCAGATGCAACTACACATAATTGTGTTGATCGAGAATTCAATTAATGGCGAGTTTAAATTGCAATTTCCTTCTGGGATCTAATTATTACAGAAGCAACTCGACATTTAATTTAATCATTACAGTACAGATGTAGAAAATTAATTTTATATACGTATCGTTAAATGTCTCAGTATAAATGCGTTATAATAAATAAAATTATCAGATTATATTGTGTGTTTACGAATTTTATACTTTAATGACCAAATTTTAAACTTTCATGAATTAAGCTATAATAGAATTTGTAATATAATAGATAAATAAAATATAACAGTTATAATTCAAAATTAAATTCCTATTAATAAATAAGCAAACTGAGAAACTGTTGCACAACGCAGAGTTCAAGAATCAAATTTTAATTAAAATTAATTATTAGTTCAATAATTAAATTAAAATTAATTATTAATTGACTTTTCTAATCATTTGAATTAATTAAGATAATGATTAGATAAGTGATTAAATAGATAATAATTATAGATAAATGATTGAACAGTATGTTTCTAAGGTCTTTACATCCTTTTTTACTTCATATTTTATTTCATTAACTTTAAAAGATGATATCTTTTTAACTTAATTAATACAATTTTCATGATGGACTCGTTTCTTAACACGAATATTTCAAACATGAAAACTTCATTAGGTGACGCCTACATTACAAATGATTTAATAGACGGAAATAATAACTGCGTTCATTTCATAATGAATTAAAAAATGAAAATTATCTTCAGTTCTCTGAAAGGCAGACATAATTCACCTAAAATAATAGTTCAAATAGCAACATATAATAGCCTGAATGCACTAATATTGACGGTCACTAATTAATTTAAAGAAAATTTCTTGTTAAACGTAAGGAAGGAAACAGAAAATAATTAACTTGACTTAATTATCCAAAACCCACGCGACGTGGCCTGAATAATTCGAAAGCAAACATTTCTCACAAGACAACAAGTCGCTTCAGAAAATACGCTGATTTAATTTATGATTGATCTAATCTAACAGGTCCAATAGTTCCATAACAGAAAGATAGAAATAAATATAAATAATAACAGAAAGATAGAAAAAAAAGAGCTTTAATTTTTAGAAATGTAATTTCGCTTTCATAGTGAGTAACTCTTAGTTTTTCAAGATTTACTTTTTTTATTTATGAATATGTATCGGTCAACATGGCATAGAATTCAAATGCTGCACTAGTAACGATCAGTCCATAACAAAGACACAGATTTCATAAGGCGCAATAAAAATTCCTTTCAACTGGGTCTCACCGTGGAAGACTCGTCGCAAGATAACAGAGCGTAATAGTCCTCCTCCTCACTGGGCGAGTAATTGATGGCGTCCTCGACACTCATTTCGCGACTCTTTCCGAAATCCCCTGACGCTCTTACCACCCTACTTCCTTAGAGAGTAATTCCACGAGGGCGTTTGCACGCGGAAAAAGGTCGCAGCCGCTACCCGGACTTCTCGTTGAAGATCTCTCGTCGCTTTTTAAACCCAATCAGTCGAGATTCCGTCACCTGTTGCGAGAGCGAGCAAGTTAATCCGTGAACGTCGCCGTCGCGTCGTCGACTACCTCGGACGCCAAAGTGAACCGAGTCAAGGGAAAACCGTGTCGCAGACCCGGAAAGACCCGATTCCCGGGGAATCCCGCGCGACTGCGTACTCGCCATCCCGAGCCGGCACCCTCGTTACAAAACGCGCAATTCGCACCATTGCGCAGTTGCGGCTTGCTATTCACCCTTGCGTCCCGTTGCCTTGTCTCGAAATGAGACTAAAATCGTATTTATCCTCTTTAAAATTTTTATGTAATTCATTATTCTTCAAATTTATATCTCGTTATTTGAACTGAAAATATCGAATTAAATTTTAAGCGAAATTTTCGAGCATGAGTTTCCCAGTCGCAATTATTATACAAAATTATGATGTTAGGAAAGCAATAAAATTACCGCGAGAAATTGTGGAATCTTTTGCTCAATGTACATTGAAATAAGGCTTCTTGCTACCAGTTTCTTCGAATTAAACCAGAATCTCGAAGGATATAAAGCAAAACTCATTTTCCTCTCAATATTGAGTTAAGAGTGCGATTTAATTCTGCGCCTTTTCTTGCGCCACGCACCTAGCCATCCGCAGAACGAAGGTCATTTCGTAGAACGAGTAAATGCATAAATTTACAAAAAGTAATTATAAACTTTACGACGATACAATCGCAGTTGTCCATTGCGTCATTTTTCGTCAAAAGTTTTTAAAATTTCCAAAAGTATTTTCCAATATACAGGGTCATCGAAAAGTATCGGACCCCCCTAATATCTTCAGTTAGAATGCATTTTGGAGAAAATGTCCAATAGCAAAGTTGTATGGTTTCAAGCGAGGAGTAAGATGATGACCTTGACTTTGATCTTGACCATGTCCTTTAAGGTCATTTCAAGGTCAACCTTATTTTTTTAAATGGAACCCCTTACATTTTATTGCATATTTTTATAGCTTATCTCGAGAGCTTTCCAAAACACTATAATAAAACATTTTTTCATTAAGTACTTTTTGAGTTATAAAGGTTTGAAGTTAACAATTTGTTAAGTAACTTACTGAAAATATTAGGGGGATCCGACACTTTTTAATTAATGTATTTTCTTTAAACCAATTAATTGGTCTCATTATTCCGCGCACAAAAGGTATTAAGGTTATGATTACTGAAAACTAAATAATATTTTTACAAGATTTACATTTTGTGTCAAAAAATTGTTAACTTCAAACCTTTATAACTCAAAAAGTACTTAATGAAAAAATGTTTTATTATAGTGTTTTGGAAAGCTCTCGAGATAAGCTATAAAAATATGCAATAAAATGTAGGGGGTTCCATTTAAAAAAATAAGGTTGACCTTGAAATGACCTTAATGGACATGGTCAAGATCAAAGTCAAGGTCATCATCTTACTCCTCGCTTGAAACCATACAACTTTGCTATTAGACATTTTCTCCAAAATGCATTCTAACTGAAGATATTAGGGGGGTCCGATACTTTTCGATGACCCTGTATGAATTATCTCTAAAGATTTTTTAGTGTTTTATTATGAACTGCAATATATTACGTTGTCACTTCGTGAAAGTGATCATTGTGATATTAATATTGGTAGAGAGGGACTTCCAGGAACTTCCATTTAAAATAGCAGTAAAAAAACGTGTGATATGAGAAATTTAATTAATAATTTTTTGCCTCCATTTTCATGAGAAAACGAGAGGAAAAGAGAAAGTAAGACGGAGAGAGTCCCAGGAAATTACGTTAATGCACGCATATTTGTTTGAGTACATTTTAAATGCCAAATCGAAATAAAACGCGTTTATCAATGCTTGTCAATAAATGATGCCGACAATATAACGATCATACATTTGTTTGCTCTTACGTAAGCACCGTTATCGCTGAGAGTCTTGAGGTCGCTTTTGAGGCTATAACGTTCTACAAAATCACTTCTTCTTTCGAGAAGCCGCGTGTGGAGACTGTGGAGGAGCACTTACGGACATGAAGACCAGTCCCGCTGATCGAAGATTCTCCGCAATAAGACAGCACGTTACCACGTTTCGCTTCGGAGTACACACGGTCGTACGTTGTTGCAAGGAGCACCATGGAACATTGAGCTCCGCAAGACTCTAGAGATCCGCGTCCCGCCACAAGACTCTGGAGACTCGCGGCTTTCACTCGCGGTTAAATAACCTTGAATCTCTGTATGTATATTGCTACTTTACCGACCGTGGAAGCGAGATTAAGTAGTGCGTCTTATTCATTCTCTGATATTTCTATAATGGAAAATCAATTGTTCATTGAGATTGAATTTTATCGAGCGTCATCGAGCCAGTGGAAGTAGGGAGACATATCTCACCGACGCTGCATTGAATCGTATGACTTTAACTTGTCATAGAAAAATATAAGACTATTAAATGTGTCATTGCTGTCTGATAGACTGTTATATATATATATTTTTCTACTATTTATATATTTGTCACCCCAAAGAAATTCGATTTATATGCGAGACACGCTAAGCACGAATGTTTGTCGTTGAGACGCGGAAACTTGATTGGAAATTCAAATTCTTTGAAGAATCGCAAGAAGAGGCAAACGGGAGAGACACGTCGAAACGTGAATGAATGTATGGATCAATTATGCATTCTTGCTTCTGCACGAAGACGAGAAAACAGTCGCCTGCACTTTCATTTACAACTACTAATGCTACTCTTTCAAATTCTCTGGCGCATTCTCTGCAGTTAACGATAAATAATAAAGTTCAGCAATTTTACATACGTAAAAATAGAAAATAAATTTATAATATAATGTTTATTTCAATATTTATTTACAAATAAATCTTCTTGTATTCAATAAATATTTATTCGCGAGATAGTTGCATTATGTTAAAAAATATATTAAAATTATATTATATATAAAATATTATATATGATATATATATTAATGTTACAAAAGATATACATATGTATATCTCAAGCTACGCAGGCCATACCATGAAAATGCGCAATAAATATAATGTGAAAAAGAAAAATAGAGGTGGACAGCATTCACAATAGTTTGAAGAAACCATTTGGTTGACACGTGTCAGGCGCCTATGTCATGAAGCTATAGTTATATACCTAAAGTTGCTCAAAGATAAAACGGTCAAATTCAGGAAAAATTTTTTGTGACGAACTTTTCTCGATTTACAATTTCTCCATGACGGAATAAAAATATTTCTTAATAAAGTAGCAAATATTGCCAACAAAAAAATATGTGTCAATTAAAAAAAATTCTTTTTTTCTGTTTGAAGAGTTTAAGGATTTTTTTCGACGAACACGAGCTTATAAATCGATGGTATAAAGTTTGACTCTTGCTGGCAGAAGATCACGGCAATTGCGGAATTAATTTCCGGCTTTATGAATATCATTAATTTGATTAGATCCGATGAAAATGCTGCAACACGTGTTCCTTGCGTCGCGGTTAAATCGAGCAATCACTGACTCTGTCGGTGAGTTACGGTACGGTAATCACTCAAAGGATTACGAGACATGGCTGCGAGAAATGTGTCGAAAGGGTCGAACCCTTTCGCTGCTCAAGGAGATGCGTATGCTTTCCGAGGGCAGGAAATACATGCTCCGCTCGGCTTCCGCACGCATATGCGTGACAGACACGCAAGCGTGCACGCGTGGCGCTATTCTTACCTCAATAGAAATTAAGGTGATCACCGAGAGATACACACGTATACGTATGTTTTGTAGGTATCACAAAAACATTCATGATCTTTTTGAACTATTGACTGTTGAACGACGATATCTTTCAAGGAAAAATGTTATTGAATTCTTATCGGAAAAAGAAATGAAATTTTATATCAATTTTCGGAGAAACGTGCGCTAATCTATTTTCCAGAAAGAGTGCCTCAGTCATTATTTTTCTTTTTTCAATATTTCAAGAAAATATAAGAAATTTTTTATTAATTTTTTATACGTTGCATGATAATAGTTTTACATTCATACCTCGATAGATCTATATATACGATGTTATTGATGACAAATCTACCGAATATACAGCATGTGTACAAACGTGAGATTTGATTAGATTTTGCTTTCAAATACCAGGGAAAAACTCATGCGAGGAGGGTCAAGATGCACGTGAATTCGTTTTTCTTTACCGTTGACGAACCGTCCTTCGGCGTCTCAGTTTTGCCGTCCTTGTCTATCCCGAAATAACGTTTCGTACGAAGTATGGGCGTTCCTTCGCACTACTGCCAGATGCGTGGGTGGTGGCAGTGAAGAAGAGAAGGAGAACGTGAAGCGAGCGAGCGAGCGAGCGAGGGAGCGAGCAATCATATGGTAGCACCGACGATAGACCTTCCTCCTGGTCTGGCTTGTCAGTGCTTCATGAAGTGTTGTGCAGTACCCGTGCACGATCCCTGACCGAGCATGACCCTGACAGAGTCCGAAACCTTCGAATCCCTAAGTGATAACTGAAAAGTCCTGAAAAAGACCACGAGATCTCTTCTAGCGATCTCCTCTTCGCGATATGGCTACGACGGAGGTGATAACAGTGCCCGAAACGTGAGGAAGAAGAGAAAGCTGCTATCATAATGTTTCTATCTTAATTGCTGCATGATCGAATAGACCAGAATTGAGATCTTGATGATCGGTCGTCGTCAATGATCTCATGAATCATGACTGACTATGTTAATTAAGTGTCAAACGGACGCGGATACGTTCTTATCAATAAAAGACACTTTAAGTCTGCAATGCAATTATCGATCATCCTAGGAAATAAAATAATTTGTGTATAATTTGTAGACTGTCTTATTCTGATCAATGAATAAGATGCTTATCTCTACAATCTTCATAAAGAAATATTTTTTTAATATATGATGACACATTTTTGTGTGGAGAATATTAAAGTCCTGAAAAAGTATAAAGATGCGTGAAATAATTACGGATTATAAAATACAGATGAGCTATGCAAAGAAGATATTATGAGTTATGTACAGTTTAGAAGAAAAACAAGAAGAAATAAATTGGCAATCTCTTATGAAAGATACATCGTTTATTCGGTAGTGTCAAACTAACATGGCTTGAAGTTCA